TGTCCAAATAATTGAGGGAAGTTATAGTTCTAATACTTATTTTGTTAAATCCTCGTGGGAACGATATCTTTATACCACTTGATAACTATTGCACTTGCTAGGGTTATATAATTATAGATATCAAGTTTTTGGCGCCATTGCCAGGGATTTAATCCTAAAATAATATTAGAACTTGTTAACCTTGGTTAATTTGGATTTTACTCTTTATTTAATGTGTTCAAATTCTTGTTGTGTTCAGATTAGTTAGTGTATGACACGCACTAGAGGCAAAGAACTAGCAAAATTCGACCTTGAAATAGAGAGAACCCTTTGCATACTGCAAAGAGCCAACAAAAGTAAAGAGAGAGAGAGAGGGTTGAAGGAGGCGAACCAATAGAAGAAGTTGAGGAAGATATGGCAGACGAAGCAAATCGAGGTATCGAAGCCAACCCTGAGAAAATACAAGCCATATTGGACATGGCACCTCCTCGGTCGGTGAAGGAAACCCAGAAGTTCATTGGCCGTGTGGCGGCGCTCAACTGCTTCATGTCAAAGTCAGTTGACCGATGTCTTCCCTTCTTCCGAGCCATCAAGAAATTGAAGGATTTCCAGTGGATGGAGGAATCTCAACATGCTTTCGATGAAGTCTAGGAGTACCTCGCCTCACCTCCCCTCTTGGCCCGCCCAGTACGAGGAGAAACTCTATACCTTTACATATCAGATGGGAACGAAGTAGTCAACTCAATCTTGATCAGAGAAGACAGAGCACAGAAACCGATATACTATGTCACCAAAGTGTTGTGCGACGCCGAAACCAGATATTCCGAAGTGGAGAAGCTAGCCTTCGCCCTCATGGTTTCAGCCCGAAATCTTACGCCTTACTACCAAGATTACACCATTACGGTGTTAACAAACCCGCTTCGGTGATGATGCTCTCCAGTTAGACCCGCTCCATCTATTCCTTGGAGAGTCCTTGTCGTGCCTCCTTCAGCTGAATCTTGAGGTGCTCCCGAACTAATTGCTCGTCCAAGAACGCCTTTCAAAACTTCTGGTGCTTGTCCTCAGTGGCAGCAGCTGCCTTTTGGAACTTCTCCCATTCCTTCTGGAGCTTCTCCTCGATGGACTTCTTCTCCATCTCCGCCTTGTCAATGCGAGACATGGCCTGCCTCATTCAGTCCCCCAAACCGACAAAATGCAGATATGCCTGCAACAAAGCCAGTTAGCAAACGAAAGGGTAGGGAGAGAAAGAAACACAAAACTGAAAAGCATCTTACCTCAGCTAAGTGGTACAGGCCCTCATCGTAGATGGCCTTTGGGTTGCTCTGCAACAGGTGGTAGTGATCCCTCGGCTAGAAGGCCCCGCTCACCAGTTCCTAGTTGACCCCCTCATCCTGAACGGAGTCCCCTTCTCGGAGTTGTCATTGTAGGCGGAAGATCTTTCTGGCCCCCTTGGCTCTCTCGAGGAGCCCCTGTACTGATGAAGGGGCTGATGAAGGCCCAGATGGACGCTCCCCATGTGTGGACCTCTGCACCACCTCCTCGGTCTGTCGCTCTATATTGGCCACCTTTTTGCGGCGGCTCTTCCCTCGGCATATCTATTGCGGGCCTCTTCCTACCCACCTCGGACCCGTCTGTGGGCTTCTTTGGCGCCTCGGTCTGGGTGGTTGGCTTCTTCGGTGCTTCCGCTAGCTTTTTGGCCCCCTCCTAGGGCCTCTTCACCTCACTAGGGACCTCTTGGGGTGCCACAACTGGCTACTTCCCCTTGATCCTTGGTCGAATCCATTCGGTTTTGGTCGGTTTACAAATGGCCTATCCGAAACTGACTGGGTTGGAAAATTGCTTAACCAAAGCTGATTGGAATTACTAAAAAACCAACCAACTCGGTCGAGTGAGGTTAAGTTGGTCAGTTTCATTTGTTTGGTGAACAATCCTAGCTGAAATTAATTTTATGTGTTTTATTGTTTAGCTTTCGTTTAACAAAGTCCATGTATCGCATGGATTCCTGCTAGTGTATATATATGATGAAAATACTTATATTTTTGTTATTCTTTATTTAAATTGTCATTTTTTCTTTTTCTTTTAATAGTTTATTATTTTTTAAAAAAGTTAAACAGAATTGAATCACATTTAGATATCCAACATCCTTTTTAGATTCAAATTTGAATCAGTATTTGTAAGATCCAATCAGATTTTCAGATCAATTACAATATGCCCACTTTAAATCTGATCCAATCCATTGGCATCTCTACTTCTCACCGATCATATGAAACACTGTTCATTTCACATGCCAATAACCCATATTAGTTTTACGGATCCAACTGAATATTGGATCATCTGAGTTTCATCAATTGCTTAAATTTCAGCGATTAGACCATAATATTAAGGGGTTCTTATGATTCAGTCCATCCCTAGGTGAAGTTAGGATTTCCTAGAGATAGACTGAATCCTGCCTGTAGATTGATGTCAAATTCAAGGGCATGATGTAATTTATAGGGGGGAGTTACTAATAAACTAAGAGGGGCTGTAAAAAAATTTGTGAGGGGAATTGCAGTCCAAAAATCCCTAATATTAATGGGTTCATATTCATATATATATATATATATATATACACTCCAGTACTATTCCAGTATATTAGAAAGAGAAAGCATTCTAGATCATTCCACAACATCCTTATAAAAATGTCATTTTGAGCGTAAGGGACCACCCACCCGACCATCACCTGATAGCCGGAAAGATTCAGGGACGTCACCGGCGGTCGGCCCCTTCCAATTCTCAAGTGGCGGTCCCCGCCACTCTTTTTTTCCTTTTTTTTTTTTACTGTATTCAATTCATATGCCCATCACTTGAAAAAACAAAAGAAACAGAACCAAAGGTCCCCCAGCTATTTCAGTAATGTGGAGCCAATCAGAATCTTAGGGCCCGCGCCCCGGCATCAACAGCTTGGTTCTCTGCAGCAATGTCACCTACTTTGCAGTATGGAGTCAAACCCCATTACGATCCATGAATGAATCAACGCCAACATAGATACGCATTGGAGGAAATACATTTGTTTATTCCTAAAACAAAACAGTCAAACTATATATAAATATAACCATGAACTTGATGGGATCCTTTCCTTCACCTCTACTCAAGTTGGAATTGCAAGCTTGTATATGTGCAAAAGATTTAAACACAAAATTTCAAAGTTCGAACTCGGTGGAAAAAGTCGATTTTGGATTTGGTGGCATCCTCCCTACTCCCTGGTTTGGGGAATGGCGGTTAAGAGTAAAAATTAGTGGATTGCTCTAAGGTTTTGTTTGTTTTTCGATAAATAAGAGGATTTTCATTGATAAACTTTATAGTAATTTTTTTGTATTAAGTATTTCGATAAAATGCATTCATCTTCCATGTGGGTAAGTAATTTTTTCATATGGGAAAAATGTTTGTAAAATATGATGGAATAAATTTGTCCTTTTTATAGATAAAAAAAAAGAAGTAATTATATTATTTACCTTAAAATCAATCAAAAGAACATAAGCACATAATTGAAATTACCCGAACCAATGAAAAATTTATAAATGAATAGGGCCTAAATTTTAAATACAAAATTGCAATTCAAAGTGATTTTTGGGTAAACTACAAACTGCCACTTATATTACATATATATACATAAAAGAATAATTTTTATTGGATGGGATCATGGGAGGGAGTTAAATCTACATGTGAAGTGAGTGGAATATAAGTTTTAACACTCAAATTCGAAGTAATCGGATCTAAAATCCAACTGAGTATCGGACTTTTTGAATCCATGGACAACCTTAACCTTAAGCAGCAAGGTTCAAAATTTTAGTATTGGTGGTATGTTGATATGGTGTTTTAGGGTACCCAATAATTACCCATTTCAAGGGTTGAGATGCCTTTAAACCAATCCCTCTAAAAAAGTTTAGTTATTGAAGAAAAAACTTAACAATACACCCCACCCCTTCCGTGTATGGGTGTCTCAGTTTTTGCTTTATATATTCATTCCTTTATTTATGCTTTTAAAGTAAACTAACCCTTAAAAACAACTTTAATTAGACGTCCAAAGTCAAAAATTCATAGTTAGCCAAGGACAAATCTCCCCCACTAGTGTTATGTTAGTAGTGGAAGTGTGGAACTGGAACATTGGCGCGCTGTAGCCGTCCAAGACAATGACACACTGCAACAGCAACAACTATATCACAACTCATTCATTCGCATACAGCTACAGCCCCAAATAATGTATAAACTACAGCTATAGTATATATTTAGAATTGAACAAACTATGGTGTGTAATATATATTATGGATGTGCAAGTGGAAGCTCGCTTTCTCTTGCCTTTGTTATTTTATTGTCCCTTCAATACAAGTAACAACCCACCACTCACCATTTAATGCTAACCACAATTAGTATACAACGGTTTTACTTTTACACACAGGATTCATCCTCGGATACTGGGCTGATTGATTAGGGTTAGCCCACCAAAGTCATTGATCTTGACCATCTAAAATTCTAAATGGGCCCGTGTTGAAGACAGAAGTTGAAGCGGTGCTCCTCACGTTATACGTAACGTGTATGAAGAAGGCCCACCCAATTGAATTGAATGGTCCTGATCCAAATTGCGTTGGTTGGAAGCCCGTGATTAGGCTTATAAAAGAGTCAGTCAATTTGGATGACTGGAGTGAGGTCGCCGTTGACCTTTTCTTCCACTTGGCTTGGCTCGGTTCAGTTTGGCTTGAATCCAACAACAACAAGTCAAGCCGCAACTCGCAAGCCCGCGGCTGGCACGAACGAAACTCTCAATCCAAATAAAGACTCTCTACACATCCGGTTCCTACCGACCACGTGCCGTGCCGCGGCTCACCGACGATCCAGATCCTCCGATGCCTCGACTCATCAAACGACAACAGGCCTATCCAGGGGACGCATTCTTATCGACACATAAACGGTCCTCAATCGCCCACGTGTCGCAGAAGATGTGATATTAGACCAAAGATCCAACGGACCCGGCATTCTCTACCCAAAGCCTCTCCCCAAAAAAGATCCAAATTTCTCTTCCTCTCTCTCTCTCTCTAGCTTTTCCGACGACGTCCCCTATCCCTATTACCCTCCTTTCCGGTTACCATCTCACCGTCTGTTCCTCTTCCGGTCAATCCTTCTACACCCATCCCTACTTTCTTCCTTTCGTCTTGGATTACGGTCGAATTCTTAGCCGAGAGTTCTTGATTTTATCTGGTTTTGCTGCTAAATTTACTATATTCCTCTCTCTCTCTCTCTCTCTCTCTCTCTCTCTGTTTCACCGCAAAGTTCGTCCAATCCCTTCCTGTGAAGCTTCTTTTGCTGTCTCTAAGAATTCTAATTTCTTTCTCCGCTTTCTATAAATTCCTTATCTCATAGAAGGGTCGTTTCTTTTTCTTTTCTCTTCTCTCTCTCTCTCTCTCTCTCTCTTCCGACTTCTGTCATAGAAGCAAGCGTAGCGTTGTGAGTTCTTGTCACAGAAGTATCTGGGTCGGACTTCATGGGGGATTCCGACAACGAGTCCGGCGGGCACAACAACAACGCGAACAGCGAGTTCTCGCCGCGGGAGCAGGACCGGTTCTTGCCCATCGCTAACGTGAGCCGAATAATGAAGAAAGCACTTCCTGCGAACGCCAAGATTTCCAAGGACGCAAAGGAGACGGTACAGGAGTGCGTATCGGAGTTTATCAGCTTCATAACCGGTGAAGCGTCGGATAAATGCCAGAGAGAGAAAAGGAAGACGATAAACGGCGACGATCTGCTCTGGGCCATGACCACGTTAGGATTTGAAGAGTACGTAGAGCCCTTGAAGATATATCTGCAGAAGTTCCGAGAGATGGAAGGTGAGAAAAGCTCCATGGGAAGGCAAGGCGAGAAGGACGGCTCCGGTGGTGGTTCAGGCGGCGCAGGATCGGCCGGGGGAGGCAATGGCGCGGTTGTAAATCCAGGGGGTAGCGGTGGCGGTTTTAATGGAGGTGGGATGTACGGGGGAATGCAGCCGGCGATGATGATGATGGGTCATCATCAAGGACAAGTATATGGCTCCGGTTCGTATCATCAAATGGCCGTGGCTGGTAAAACCAGTTCGACCACTGGCGCCGGTGGAGCTCCAGCTGCGAGGCCAAGGTAGGTGTTAGAAGTGAGTGCTGTTTATGATAGACAGTTGTTGAATGAATATCGAACGAGTGAATGATGATGCTGATTGTATGGTCCTTTTAGGGTTCCTATTTTCTACTCTATCCTTTGTTCCGCTATTTCCTTTTTCTTCTGAATTATTTTGGAGATGTTAATTAACTTGGATTAGAGAGAACTTAATGTGAGGGGTTGTTGGGTTGAAGGAGGAATCTATGTGTAATTGAGAGAAGAAAGAACATATGTATCACCACCATAGTGAAGAGCAAAGATGTGTAACATAGATATAACAGCATCTGATGATGTCTTAGTTCTTCTAATTGAGCAACAGAAAACAATCTCAAATCTTCTGTATTATACTTTTTTTGTGCTTATTCTCCTTAGTTTTTCTATGCATTTTCTTTTTCAGTTTAAAATGGAATTCTTCTGGAAGACATAAATGGGTATCACAATTTCAATTCAGTCATTCCATGAATCGTTGGGAGAAGGTTAAAAAGTGAAAGCTAAGAGGGTGTCGGTGTTAAATTTTATTTCTTTGGTAAATTTTGAAAAGCAATAATACAACAACAACAACAACAAGGAATGCAGACAGCATTTTCCAGATTTGGAGAAACACTTGTAGCCTCCATATGTTTGGGAGATAAAACATCAATTGCCATGGATTAGATCTTGTTTTCTTTCTCCATATTTAGTTCTGTACTACCCCTTCGCTTCGCTTCGCTTCGCTTCGCTTCGCTTCGCTTCACCAAAAAATCTATAGTACGTACCTGCAGAAAAAAGAAAACCTTTGGTTCTGTGGACGAAAAAAAAGATGAAAAAAAAAGAAAGGAGGACTCGTCATGGAATGATTTTTTGAAGGGGACTTGTTAAAAGAGGGAACTGGGGAAGGTTAACTGCAATAGGTCGTGGACTCGTGCTGCTGCAACTACTACTACTGCTACTGCGTGCTCAGTCGGTATAGCAGTGTTTGGTCAGAATCTAGGCATCATAGTCAGCAACGGTCATTCTAACTGTAATGGCTACGGCGGTTTATTGTGTGGATGGTTGGAAGTTGCAACTTCCTAAACCGATAAAACCAACAACGCATTTGACATTGCCCCAAAAAATAAATAAATAAATAAAATAAAAGAACAGTGCCACAGAGGACATGTCAAATGTTCTATCAAACTGCATGAAAGGTTAACCGCCCAGAAAAACTCAAGAAACTGGTTGCTGCTTACATATGTATTGTTAAGCACAGACTAGATCTTTTTGATTATAAAACAATTAATGGAGTTCAATGCACTAAGACAGAACAAAACGTAATTGGAAGCTCGGAGGCTGGACTGTCTCTCGATTCTAATTAATACTCGTTATATTGGAAAGGGTGTAACGGTAGTTTCGCATTCAAGTATTGTTGGATCTGATTTTTGCAACTGAGTTGAGACATTTAAGGCTATGTTTGGTCTGAGAGAGAAAAGGCAGGGAAATGTAAGCGAAACCTATACAAGTTTTGTAAAGGTTTCCTTACTTTTTCCTTCAAACAAAACACAGGTTATTTATGGGAAAAATCTATGATATGATAATGCGGGAAAGACACAGTTTTGGCGTGTTGACCAATCAAGACCCATCCATGAATTTTTAGAAATAAGGATTTTCGAATATCATATCTTTCCGATTTCATAGCTGAACGCTTTATTTATACTTGAAACACAAAAATTCTTGTTTTGTACTTGTAGTCCTGTTTGTTGAGAAATGTGCATTTTTCATCCATATCAGCACCATGTTGAGACTTTGTGCTACTACCAAAGTAGGAAACATCAAATGGATATGCTGCTTATTGAAACATCCCCCAACATGGATTTTCATGGGAAATGTTTTTTTGACCTTTTTAAATCAAAACAATGTCCTACTAATTATACTCCTATTGTGCTGATGTGGCTACGTTTATGCTTGAAACACCAACGATACCTAAAGCCCCCCTTAGTTGGCACCAATAGTGTCGTTGTCTAGGATAATATAACTGAGAAAAGCCCCACAAATGGCTTGAGGCATTGTTTTCTTAAAATAAAAACACTAAACCTTATTTTTTTTCATTTCTAAATGTGAAAATACAAATTTGTTCTTAAGACTCAGTTTGGAACAAGTACAAATGCCAATATGTACTATGTACAGTGCAAACACATACAAAATAATATAAAATATAAGGTTTTGCACCCCACATATTTGCATTTATACTCCTTCCAAACTGAGCCTAAAGGTTCAGTTTAGTTGCAGTGCAAATGAATAGCATAGAAGCATGGGAGTGCAAATAGATTGAGTGTAAATTGTGGTGCAAAAGAGTGGAAATAGGAGAAGGATGATTTGTAATCTCCACTTTAGATATGAGAGAAGTGAGGTAGGTGGAAGGTGGTGCAAATTTTGCATCACTTTTTAGGATGACTGCCAATGCGTGAAAATGAGACAAAAGTACAGGTCTTGTATGGAAAACCATGATTACAAATAATAATAAGAAGTAAAACTGAACCAAGTGCAAAGTTTATATCTGGCTGAGATTTGCATTGCAAACAATCAAAGCCTAAATTTGTATTCACCAATATGATTAGTCAAGGGTTAAACATGCAAAGAGAGATGTGGTATTCATGAAATCTCACGTAGGGGTTGTGAATTCTGAATTCTGATTCTTATTGCCACTGCCGCTTAATAGTTGATCTTATTTCTCGCAAACATGCAACAGGTGGCAAGTTATGAGACCCTTCCATTCTCCTTCCTAAATTTTTGAAACAACTCCTCCGAAAAGTGAGAAGACAAAACAGCCAGGGTAAGCACTTGCTGCAGCTTCTCCAGCCCATAAGTCATAAAAGGGAGAGCTGGGCGGAGTCATCAGTAGTCAGCTGCGCTCAACTCGCTACACACACTCACACTCCGTAGAGATATTGAGTCAATTATAGTAATTAATAGCCTTATCTAGCATACATTTGTGCAAAGACAGGTGTCAATCTGAAGAAATGCAATCCATCCATTTAATGTCTCAATCATTTGCACGGACACCCTCCCTCAAATATTTAAGTTAGAAAATCATAACCGTCAAATCTAAAGACTTTACTTTTCCCTCCCTTGCGGTTTGCAGAAGATCTTTTGAACCTCACAAGTACCCAGCGCATCTTTTAGCCTTTAGACTTTTGTACAAACATATAATAATCTCGTTATACCCTAATTTGTGGTCTGGTGGCCGTTGGATCAAATAAATCTGCTTTAAATTCCTTCTCTTGACAGATACAACTTGGACGGTTGAGATCAGAAGCATGGTCCATCGACGATTTGACTTTGATCATGGGAGGTTGTGCTGCGTTGTGGGGCATTAGATTGGGATCTGAAGTTCTGAACTCGAGTCCAAGGGTGGCGGTGCAACGTTTAAAGTTGAAAAAGGGAGTTGGGGCTGACGCGCTGAATGATGTCATGTTTAGAGACAAAGCACACGCCTGCTGTCACCTGTGCTCAGACACGAACACAGTTTGGCTTCGGCAGCACTACGTACCTCAGGCTCAGGCTCAGGCTCAGGATCTCTCTCTCTCTTCGTAGCTTACCCTGAAACAGTGGAGGAAGTATGGCCATATAACTTGCCACCTGTCCAATTGTTAGAGGATTAAAATCCACTACTTTGATGGGTCCCACATACACCCTCATTGAAATCAGTAGTTGACTTTTAAACCACTAATTTCTGTATTATTTTCAGAGTTTCATCATCGCTGAGACACTGACATCAAAAAATGCAATTCCAACAGTGAATTTAAACTGCTTTTCGGGGGCCGCTATTAAATGGTGGGTCCTAATTCTATGAATGGATGATACGTGGTAAGCCTTAAGGTTCCATCTTGTGTTATTGGTCCTCCGTCCCTAAACCTATGCACAGTAAGCTTTTTTTGTCTTTTTTTTTTTACTTCACGAAGGTGAGATGCCATAGTCTAGACCTAGGGCTAGGGGGCATTCATGCTAAATAGCATTTGCGGTTTGCTGATGTTTGCAATATTGTATATACACGTGTTTGAATTTTACTGTGTTTGGTGTCTTTGGTTTGAAGGAGGAAGGAAAGGAAGGGAAACTTAGAAAAACTTTTACAAATTTCGTATAGGTTTTCTTATCTTTTCCTTGAAATCAAACATAACTTAAGGTAAAAATTTATTTTAAATGTTAAATAATGAGATATCCACCACATCTGAAATTTTGAAGAAAAAAAAAACTAAAAAGATATAAATACACCCATTGGTCACCAACTCAATCAACTACGGTGATGTTGGTAACAAGGAATGAATCTTAAACTGTGGAAAAGGAGGATCTTTGCATTGTATAATGCCAAATTGCCAATAGGACCACATTAACCCTTACTATTCTAATCTTACTAACCTGTTAATTATAGGTCATATGCTCAGTCATGGTTAAACTTATGGTTTTTAAAATCGAACCGGTCAGGGATCTGGTTACCAGTTCGAATGGTCCGACTATTCGACCTGAACGGCTGATTCGTTTTGACAAAAAAATTAAAAATTGAAAAACGGTCAAAATCGTTCAAACGATTAATCGACCAGTTCAGCGGTTTACTGACCAAAATCAACGGTTTTAAGGAAAAAAGCAGTTTTAGAGAAAAACGGAACCGATCTTTCCCGGTTTTTCCGGTCCAGTCCAGTTTTGAAAACAGTGGTTAGACTAATCAATGGAGAAATCTATGATACTAGAAAGATATGATAATCAAAGAGCTTTAGTTACTTCTTTTATAATAATTGTTGATTGGTTGCAAGTTTTTATGGTATCATGTCTTTTCATAGTGGAGCCCCTAGCCAATTGGACTTAGACCCATGCCCCAAATTTGTTTGCAAAATAAAAAATTGTTGATCTAGAATTTAGTGACCTAACCAATTGAATTGAACCACTATACCATTTGACTTTGTGAGTGGATTATAGGTAGATAATTAAGTCTCTCTCTCTCTCTCATTTTAGTCATTTTAACTCTCTCTTGTTGCACTATTTTTCTATACATTTTATCTATTTTTATTTTTTTTTCTTATTTGATGTATAATATCATGAGCCGGATTGACCCAAATGATTAAATAGCTGATGTCGTTTTTTAAAACATTGATACAGGTCTAGACGAACTCAGAATTCATTCTCACAAAACTGTCCTCACACAGCCTTACGCAGCTGTGGATTGGGAACTCTGAAGCCGGTCTAGACCCCTCAAAAAGGATGAAATCCAAATTCGGTGTAGACCCCTCGAAAAGGGGGATGAACTCTGAAGCCGCATTTTCAATCCCCCCCTCCTCCACCCCCAAAGAAAAGACAAGCCATCTTTTGCCTTCTCTTTTTCTGCACAATAATTCTTCCAAACCAAACTTTTGTCTTTCTA